ATCGAGTGTTGATCCAAAGATTTAATGTTGATCCAATTAAAAAGAGGAAGTCTCTGGGGATGTACATCAGCAGCAGCACTTACTTTGTCAAGTCAGCCTTGCCATGAGACTCACGCACTCGTGCCACCTGGAGGTCTGGGCACAGTTTTTTTGCATCATCCACCCACATGTTCCTGGTGACACCATGGGCCCTGGCCTCATAGCTCACAGCTATAATACTAAGAAACAATAACATTTAGTCAAGGATCACAAAACAATCATAAAGTGTGAAAACATTTTAGAAGGATGTCTAAGCGGTTATTTGTGGGACATGAGGGCGGGTGAGTTGCCAACACAGATACATCAATTCAAATGGTCAATGCAACTGAACACACGCAGTCGTGGGAACGAATCCACCAGTGGGTTACAAAGAGAGAGGGGAATGTTGAAATTCGCTGTAATCTAGTCAACATTTTGTTTTACCCAGTATTTCATTGTTTCAAAATCTGCTGATCTACTGGCATTTTCTCCCCTAACACCAACTCTATGGTTTACAGAGAATGGTCTGAAAAAAGAGAAAATAAAGCTGCAGTTTTCTGGGTGAACGTGCCTTGTGAATGGCTAGACTGCTTCACGCTGATAGGAAGGCAACAGTAACTCAAATTCAAATAACCACTCAACTAAGTTATGCAAAAAAAACCAACATTTTTAAACACAAAAAACGATGAACCTTGAAGCAGATGGGCTACGGCCACGGAAGACCACAGCAGGTGCCACTTCTGTCAGCTAAAAAACAGGAAACTAAAGCTACAGTTCACATGGGCTCACCAAAATTAGAAAAGAGATGACTAGGTGTGTTGCCTGGTCTGATGTGTTCAGATTCAGGTTGTGGTTGGTGGTGGTGGTGTAATGTTGTGGTGGATATTTTTTTTAGCAGAGTTTGTGCCCCTTAGTACAAACTGAGCATCGTTTAAACACCACGGCCTACCATGTCCATCCCTCTATGACTACAGTATAACCATGTTCTGATGGGTGCTTCCAGCAGGATAACACACCACGTCACAAAACTCAAATCATCTCAAACTGGTTCCTTGAACATGCCAGTGAGTTCACTGCACTCGAATGACCTCCACAGTCACCAGATATCAGTCCACTAGAGCAAGTTTTGGCTTTTTCATCAACCTTTTAACTCTATGCAACAAAGAGTTGAGGCAGTTCCGCAAACACGAGTACGAACAGGATGTACGTAAGGAACACCAGAAAAAAAGGGGGGGGGAAAAAGCTTTCGTAACATTAGCTTTAGGAATCTAATGTCACCCACAGACCCAGGTTTTGTGTCACGGCTAGGTGTTTCAATTGCGTCGATCACAAAAACAGTATCCCTGTGTCAGAAACTCACCTGCCTCCTTTCCACGTCTTGTACTGGGCCACCACACAGGGAGTATTCCTCAGAGCTGGATTCAGCCTCTGCTCCACCTGCACGTAAAAGCAGTCCATGTCTACCAACGCCACCACCCTCTCCTTCCCGTACTCCATTATTAACGATGAAAATCTGTCGGTGGTGCTAAGATATGTGTCCGCTTCTTGGCGGGGCTGTTAATTCACAGCTGTCATCAGAACTGAAAGTTCGGTGGACTTGAACGGACCGCCAAAATACACACCGATCGCTTTGCATTTCGAGGGTTACATAAATACGTCATCAACAGTCGACGAAGAAGTCCCTTGGTAATGTCGTCATCACTGAAGAAAACCAGAACTTCGAACATGTCATTCTACAGTTGCCTGCATCGAAATTAGCTAGCAAGACCACAAAGGTACAAGAAAGTGACGAGATTCAAAACAATATAAAAACACTATATACACAATGTATAAGTTACAAGAAACACTGTGGGGCTGTATACAAGGGCATCCATAATATATTAAGTAAGGACGGAAGGGCATTTGGTAATTAAGGATAAAACACTTGCAAAATATGGAAAATGCAATATATTAATAGTGTAATTTTGAAATATTTTAAAAGCTGCAGTCTTCCTTTTTCGCCTTCTCCCTTTAGTGACCATCACATCGGATCATCTGCCTTCATCTCCTGATTACTCCAAATGAAAATCCCAAAAAGTAAATTGTGTTCTGTGGGAGAAACGTTTTCGTCACTCATCCGAATGACTACTCCAGTTTCAGCTGAAGTAGCATATTAAAAACAGCATGAAACTGACCTCACATCGTTTCGTCAGTCATTATACAAATGTACTGTTTATAAGGTTGGGGAAACCAGCGGTCACCTGGGACTGAAGAAGTCAATTGGATAAGTGAAAAAACGTTTCTCCCAATTGAAATGCTACTTCCACACGAACAGAATCAACTTTTTAGGTTTTCTTACCTGGATGATACATCAAGATATTCAAATGAAAATCGTAGAATCTTCAGCTCAGCATCCTCCAGATCCATCTAGTTTCTTTTTTGTCGGCACCACTGTCTCCACACCATAATTTACAGTCTGACTATTGGTTTGTAAACCTTTTCTTTCACTCTTACTGCTAGGCCTCAGTCACAAAACACTCCTGACACTCATCTTCACCCACTAGTGTGCTGTCTGTTCATTTTGATGGTTGACCCCAGTTATTTAAACCCCTCTGCCTTCACTACTCCTGAATGAAGAGTACAGTTCATGCAAAAGTGGCAAGCAAAGAAGGTGTTTGGCTTCAATAATGCTGAAGAACTTGTTAGAGTTACTTCAGTCTCTTTATGAGGGCAGATGTACCCAAGATTGTTAAGATCTGATTGCTGAAGACAGTTATTGCATGGCAGTCTACAGAGTGCTCCAGTAAATAGAACTACAGAACTCAGTAAGGGACCATGGGTGAATATAAGTCCACCTATTCTTCTAATGACTGACATAAAAATAAACATATATAGTGAAACAACACATTATCTACTAAAACATTGCAGAAATAAATATATTTAGATAAATTCCAATAGATGTAGTTGTGGGTTATTGTAACTATCAAAACAGGTTTGATCCAATAGCTCTCAAATGGTAATCGTCATTAAAATCATTATCTATTCATTTGTCTCATTGCATTGTTATAAATAAAATATTATTAGTTTTTTTTAAGTAAATTAAGCACATTATGAAATACTTTTGATAGTTTTGGGTGAATTGTTGGTAACTGTAAAAGCCCTAAAAACAGAAACATTGTCAAAAATATAAATAAAATGAGGAAGCAATCCAGGTTGAAATTTTCCCTGTGATAGTGAAAGGGGTCACTTACTCACAGCAGCTGTGCCAACGTGGTTCTTCTATATATTTATCACCTATTGCTCACTAGATTGCTGGGTAAGTAAGAGAAGCCTTGAGCTAGTAAATAATTAACTTAAAAAGATGAGTCACTGGTGGTTAATCAACAGCTTTTAATATTGTGTTTAATATTTTACTGCTCGGCCATGATTCTGAATTGTAAAAGTGATGTAACCAATCAAGATGGATCAATAGGTGGAACAGCTGTGAAAATAAATGCGAGTGTCCCTAATCTTTTCACTGTAACCATGAGCGATCTGAGATCAGAGAGCAGCGGCTGGTATTGGTGTGCTATTGGAGACTTACAGATGCCATTGCACATAATTGTTCATGAAGTTACTTCAACCGGTAAGACTGCACTGCGGACCAATACAAGTAAGATACTAAGATAACCTTTCTGTTTTCATAAGTTAGCGAATTATCATAAAAATTGCACCACTTAAGTATAATTGAGGTTTTTGCAAAAGTATGAAGCTGTTTAATATGTGACTATTAATGAGTTGTGAAATAGATGGAAGTTGCACACGGTATAGAGAAGTAAGTTTCATGTTCAGTGTGCTGTAAAAGATGTTTGTTTATTTTTGATCAATTTCAGTATTCAGAACAGGTACAGTGGTCCACTTTAATTTCAACCAGATAAGAGTGTGGTTTGCTTTAAATACAGTTGAATATTGCTGTAAATTCACTGTAAACTTACAGTGGCATTTAATCGCTTAAGCAAGCAGGGATCTTTGTTATTGTGACACCATTCCTGGGGCCCGTAACATTATAGTTTAGTATTTTATGGCTTTGGCATGTATGGCTGCTACAGGTATTAACTAACTTATCTTCATTGATGATGTAACTGCTGATGGCTGATGGAAGTTGCAGAATGAATTCTGAGGAAGATGGAAACATCTGCTCATGTTCCAGTAAATGCCTGCAAACTCATTGAATAAATCTTCATCCTGCAACAAGATAACTTACTGCTAAGGCAACACAAAACTTTCTCAAACCCCAAAAGGTTAGTCACCTGATAGATAGACATCAAAAAGGCGGTGAGCATCTATGACAGCTGGCACTGCATGCAAGGGATATGCAACAAAGTATTAAACATGACTGCATTCATGTACCTACCATTACTTTGTCCCAAGCACTGTTGTGCCCTAAAATGAGGTGGCAAGTGTTGTAATTGATATATGGTGGAACTAAAATGTATGTTAATGATTATGAATTAAAGTTCAGAATGTGCACTTTAATCACATCTGCACTGTTTGGTTTAAATTTTGACAGTGAGAAGCACATTGTGGCTTTACCAGACACTGAGTCAGAGGAAGGAACAGCAAAAGTTGTCAGAAACCACAGAAATGTCACTCACGTTACCAAAGAACTGACACCCAACCAGAGAAGATGATCTTGTACAATGTAGAACAGTATTTAATTTGCACAATGAAACCCTTTCACTTTCCTGTTTTGACTACATTTTTATATTTTAGTTTTCTCTGTTCTATTTTCTTTTTCAATTTTCTATATGTTGCTAAGAATGATGGGTTTTGAAAAGCCACCAGCTTGACAGATGCTGGGTGTATTACTATTTACTTCATACACTCTTTATTTTGTGAGCCAACTTATGTAAAATTACTGATTTACATAAGAGGAAGAATAACAGAAACTGCAGTGACAGCTGCATATAAGGATGAAAAAAAGGAAGTGGAGCTCACACTGTTTTTTCTGTTCATTGATCGATATGGCTCTCTATGCCAGGATTATTTATATCTTGACTGGACTAACAGGTATGAGGGGGAGGCTTTTAAAGTCCTTTAGCTTGTTTATTAATTTTTATGCTGATTATAAAATTTCAAATAACAAAAATATATTTGTAATAGCCTTGTAATTGTTTTTATTTTATTGAGTTTTTTGAAGACATTATCTAATAAGGAAAAATGAAAAATTTTAAAAGCGTCTAGCCGATCAATGGAATTATTCCACTAAAGTGCTTTATTTGTTCTGTTCATGTACAAAATATAAGCCAAAAAGAAAAAACCTTGTAAGCAAACAAAGTAATATAATACTTTATTTGTTCTCTGCAGGAGTTCACAGCATAACTACAGTCGGTAAAGTCTCAGTGAAAACTGGGAAATCTATCTCCATCCCATGTCTCTATGAGTCCCAATACAAAAACCATGTGAAGTACTTGTGTAAAGGATATTATTGGAACTCATGCAGCTATGCAGTAAAAACAGACACAGCAGACCCTTCAGGAAAATATTCAATCTCTGATGACAAAAACCAGCAAATTTTCACTGTGACTATAAACCAGCTGGCCTATGAAAACACTGACTACTGGTGTGTGGTGGAGATTAATAATGGAGCAGATTATCGAAAATATTTTAAACTGTCAGTTACCAGTGGTAAGTGCACATCGTTGTACATATTTTACATTGTTTTCAGGATTTCTTGTCACAATTTCTAACAAAAAAAACAACAAATATGTTTTTATTTGTACTAAAAAGACTGAATGTGCTCTCATTTGTTGTTAAACGTCAATAAGAAAAGATATCTTAAGTCTGAATTTCAATTAATTTTTGTATGTATTGTATTTTTTGTGAACTTTAAGGGATGCCCAGTCTCCATGTGGATCATCAGAGGATTACAGGATACATTGGAGAGAACATAACTATTAGATGTAACCACAGTTACTCTGGAGAAATGAAGTGGTGCAGGCTGGGCAGGAACTGTGTGACAGAATCATCTGGATCCATAGATGGAACAACAGTGACCACTCATATGAGCGACCCAAAAGTTTTCGCAGTGACCATGAGTGGACTAAAGTCAGAGGACAGTGGCTGGTATTGGTGTGCTAAAGAGGACATTCAGATACCAGTACATTTAACTGTTACTGAGAAACCAATCACCAGTGAGTACTGCAAGCTATCATAAACTCCACATATATATCAGTTCCATCCATTTATAAATGTTAGTACTCTCAGAGATATTAGGATAATGATTGTTATAATGCTCTAGTAATTATTTATGTATATTTAATTATAGCTACTGCCCCTACTGTTGCTCAAGTTACCGGAAATGGAACAATTCACACATTTGAAGACACACAAGAAAGGTTTGTTTTTCAGTTTTATGTGCAGTATTTAATGAACTGTTCTTGTAAGGGAAACTGTCAAAAAATCCTTTATGCATGTCATTGTTCCTTGTTAAGCTAAACTAAATTATACATTTTGCAGAGTTCCGTTTGACCTAAAGATCCTCATCATTCCTCTGAGCCTGCTGGTCGTGGTTGTAATTGTAGCTTTTCTTTTCTGGTTTATAATAAGACAAAGTAAGTGTTACTGAAACCATTGAAACATTTAAAATGCAATTAAAGTTTTGATTATTGTGCATTGTTACACGGTCAGTAACAGCAGTTATCTTTTACTAGAGCTGAGAAAAGCAGAATCAACTCCCACAGCAAAGGTAAGAGATCCTGTGTGACAGGTCTATATGCAAAGAGTTCGGTGTGACACCAGGCTGACAGTGTTTAGTCTTTCTGTAAATTACATTTTGCTCATTCTACACAGATTGATGAGGAAGTGACATACGCCAGTGTAAGAAATGTGGGAAGAAAAACAGCTGAGGTAGCCCTAACATACCACAGCTAAACATTTATATTTAAGAATATAAGTAGACATTTTTTTAAAGCATGTTGGAACTGTAAAGTGTTGTCTTTCTATTTTTGTTCATTCCCAGAGGTCATTTACAGAAGGTGATGGGGAAATCACATACAGTTCAGTTGTGACCATAAAGAATCAAAATATCAAAATGGTAAATATTAAACATGATAGCAGCCGCATCCTGTTTCCCACTTCCTGTGTTTCCTTAATTTAACATCGTTGTTGTCCTGGTATTTTGTGTGTCACTTGGAATTTGGTCACATTCTGCTTTTTTCCCCCCCTAACTGTCATCTTTGTTTCTGTTCTCCAACAGGGTGAAGAAAAAGGCACAGACGTTACATACAGCACATTAGCTACTCTCCACTGAAATATTTAAATATTATAACTTGGTAACTTTTTTGTCATGTTTAACTGTTGTTTAACAAACTATATTCCTGCATATTTGCAAAGTGAGTCAAAGAAGCGTTGATGTGTTTGCTCTTTTATCAAGATCAGTGACATTATTCTTGTTTTTTATTGTAATAAAGAAGCATTGCAAGCATCAACAATAATGGCTAATCCTGACCTCTATCATCAAGTTGTGTGAGAACTCTCAGTGTACACCAAACATTTTTGTCTTTGTTGAATGAGAGTGGAATGATATACTATTTGGAACGATTAAGCATGCAGTCTTCCTTTACGTACATTTTTAAAAACATAAATATGTGTGTAATGAGTCATTCTTAACAGCTCACTAAATCGGTACTGCAGTGGTATTGTAATAGGATGCCACCACTGCAACAAGTCACTTTGTTAAATTTCCTACACATTTCAGAATCAGCTGTAAGTTAGAACAGTTGTGGCCATCTTCCTGATGCAATCATGGATATTTGTTGTTTCATCCTGGATACGGTTCTGACACACACTAATCCTCAGCCTCCTTCCTTCCACTTAGCCTACAGTCTCAGGGTGCTATATTTGGGACTAAAACCCTCTATGCATAGGACAGAGTCAGTGGCATCTAACTTCTCCTTTGCCCAGCTTATTAAACCAGCAGGGTATGTGATGACTAGCATGGTGTAGGTATTAATAGCCCAGCATCTTGTTCTTCCCATTCAGCTGAGTCCTCAGGACTTGACTTACACTCTGGAGGTATTTGGGGGTTGCGGCTTTCCTAGTAACATCTTCATGGTTCCCATTTGCCTGTGAGATTCCACCGTACTCATAGGCTACGTTCACACTGCAGGCCTTAATGCTCAATTCCGATTTTTTGATCAAATCCAATTTTTTTGTCTGCTTGTTCACACTACAAATAAAATTTGACAGCAAACACGCTCTAGTGTGATCCCTCAAAGCGGCCCACATGCGCAAAAGAAGACGTCACACAACACGCTCTGTTTAGACCCAGACCAAACAGTATTGTTTGACTGATGGCTCTTAATATAAAGACGTTTTTCGGACTTTACATTTTCCAATTTTGCTTTAAGTTATAAAGTTATTTTGTTATTTACATATGGCCTAATAATTATCCTTATTGCTGTTTTAGAGAGGTGCGGTGCTTCAAAGGATAGTGGCAGATTTCTGTCAGAATCAGCAGATTATACAGTACAAATAAAATCTTCACGTTTCTCCAACGTTGTCTTCCCAACAGTTTCACTAACATCTATACGGGATGGCTAGGAAGCGTTCATGATGTCTTCTCTGACGCTTCTCCAGCGCTTCTCCGGTGCTGATAATTGGCGTCTGTCTTGTGTCAGTGACAAGACTGACACAAGAAAGACAGATTTAATGCGACTTGACCATTCAAACAGCAGTCACTGTCTAAAACATCAGATATGTATTGGATTCAGTACCACATACGAAAGTGACCCAGGTTGGATTTGAAAATATCGGATTTGTGCCGTTCACACTGTCATACCATGATCGGATATGTGTCACAAAGGGTCAAAAAAGTCAGATATGATGCACTTTCATCTGCAGTGTGAACGTAGCCTTAGTTATCCTCAATGTCTGCAGCGTTGCCTTCTGGTAGTGCAGTCCCCTCAGGGCTGGACTGGGACAAAAAGTCAATATGGCCGGTGTGCCATATATCTACATATTATACATATATCTATGCATTTCATTTTGTTTGACAGGTTTTAATCAGTTTGGTACAGTTGCTGTTATTTATTTCTTTGTTGTATTGCAGAACATCAAAATTTAAAGCTACACTTTAGCTGTTAGCAGTGGCTCATGGTTAAAGTAGCCAATTATTTAACCCAAATCCTTGAATCTCGCATTTTCTATTTATGTTCCTCCATCTATACTCTTACTCTTTAATTTTACTTCCTTCGTCTCTTCCTCACTTATCTACAGCTGGTGCTCCAGCAGTAGCCTCCTGTGACTGTGAGGCCTGGTTACGAGATGTTACTGGTACTACAGCCCCACAGCTAACAAGTTGGTAAATTTGACACACTATTGTTAGCTTACTTTTTGTTGTTTTTTCTCCGTTTTCAAGCTCCACCTTTTCGCCACTTCTTCCAAACTAAAGTTTTCCTACAACGTACATAAGCGCACAGTGAAGATAGGGGAGGGGCTGGTCCTTTGTCAGCTCACTTTTGTGAAGTGTTTTACATAGGAGGAAGAGTGATTGCAACTGCAGTGGCAGTGGCATACTCAGGGTTGAAAAATAGGAAGTGTTGCACTTGGAGTTTTCAAGTGCAGCAGTTCATACGATTTTGTCTGCTCACTTATCAATATGGCTCTCTATCTCAGGATTATTTATATCATCACTGGACTAACAGGTATGTGGCAGGGGCTTTTAAAAAATTGCTTAGCATCTCTGTTGATTTTCAATTTCCAATAGTATTAATTTGTAATTTGTAATAACTTACCAAAAGAGATTTTATTTTATTAGCAAAACATTTGATTCTGAAAACATGTAGATAATCAACAGAACTATTCTATTAAAATGTGCATTTGTTTCTTTGTAGGAGTTCACAGCATAACTACAGTCAGTGAAGTATCAGTGAAAACTGGGAAATCTATCTCCATCCCATGTCTCTATGAGTCCAAATACAAAAACCATGTGAAGTACTTGTGTAAAGGACCTAAATGGAAATCCTGCAGCGATGTAGTAAAAACAAACACAGCAGACCCTTCAGGAAAATATTCAATCTCTGATGATAAAAAACAATTTTTTTTTACTGTAACTATAAACAATCTGACAAATAAAAACACTGATTACTGGTGTGTGGTGGAGATTAATAATGGACTGGATTATGGAGAGCATTTTCAACTGTCAGTTACCAGTGGTGAGGTTCCATCTTTGTTAACATTTTAAAGTGGTTGTTATTAAAAGTTAAGAGAAATAGACATGAAGTCTAAATTGCCAATGGTTTTTCAAATCTGTATTTTTTTGTCCTTCTATCCACTCATTACTTTATTTATTTTAATGTTTGTCCTTGAAGGGACCCCCAGTCTCTATGTGGATCATCAGAGGATTACAGGATACATTGGAGAGAACATAACTATTAGATGTCACCAAAGTTACTCTGGAAAAATGAAGTGGTGCAGGCTGGGCAGGAACTGTGTGACAGGATCATCTGGATCCATAGATGGAACAACAGTGACCACTTATATGAGCGAACCAAATGTTTTCACAGTGACCATGAGTGGACTACAGTCACAGGACAGTGGCTGGTATTGGTGTGCTAAAGGAGACATTCAGATACCAGTATATTTAAATGTTACTGAGAAACCAATCACTAGTAAGTACTGCAAGTAATTATGAACTTGACATGTGCACAAGAGATATTAGCACAATCATTGTTACGTGTATGAACTCCATCCATTTATAAATGTTAGTACTCTCAGAGATATTAGGACAATCATTGTTCCAGTACTCTAGTACTGACTGTTGTTTTGTTGAATTATAGCTACTGCCCATACTTTTACTGGAGATAGAACAATTACCACATTTAAAAATGGACAACAAAGGTCAGATATCTTTTGTATTTGCAGTAGATTTAGCAACAAAACTGTTCTTTTGACTAAAAATCTTTTATGCTAAACTTAATTGTGTATTCTCAAACTGCATGTTGCAGAGTTTCATTTGACCTCAAGATCCTCATCATCCCTCTGAGTGTGTTGATCTTTATTGTAATTGTGGTGTTGTTCATCTGGTTGATACTGAGAAACAGTAAGTCTTGTTAAACTTTGATTGAAATCCAAACAATATTTACTTGAATTTATGCATTATCATTGGCTATTTTGCATTGTTAACACAGAGTCTGTAACAGGTGCTTTGTTTTTTTCTAGAGCAGAGAAAAGCAGACTCATCAGCCACAGCAATGGTAAGTTATATTGATTTATTTCTCTGTGAGCTTGGTACATGATTCTACAAGAATAGCTAAATTAATTGATAGGGAAAACTTTTATAAGTACAGTTTTGCAGATGTTCTAATTATTTTCTGTTTTCCAATGCAGGCCGGAGTGGAGGTAGCATACGCTGAAGTTAGACCCAAGAAAAAACACTTAGGCAAGGTAACCAACTGCTGTCCTATCAAGAAATCAAGTCTAGGATTTTCAGTGAATATACTGACATTGGAAAGTAAAATGTCTAATTGATCAAATTAATCTTCCAGTATTGTCTTCATGCATGCTCAATCATCCATAGAACGAAATCCAAAAAGCCAACCCAAAAGGTTAATCTGTTCTATGTCCAGAAGAACAGATTCAGCTCTCCTTTAAGGCTCTGTATGGAAAGAGTTTGGAGTAACCAGGCTGACACCTTTCAGTCTTTCTCTAAATTCCATTTTGTTTATCCTACACAGGTGGACCAGGAAGTAATATACGCCAATGTGGGAAACATTAGAAGAAAATCACCCGAGGTAACCCTAACATACTACAACTATACATTTGTATTTGAGTATAAGCAGACTTTAACTTTTTTTTTCTTAAAGAATGACACAACTGTAAAGTGTTCTGTTTCCACTCCTTTTGTTTTCCCCCAGATGTCACTTCCTGAAAGTGATGGGGAAGTCATGTACAGTTCTGTTGTTACCATAAAGAAACAAGAGGGTAAATATTAAAAGACCTAAAACCAAACACACGATTTCTCACATACTGTTTCCCTCTTTTCGAATAATTTAGCTCATTGTCCTCATAAGACATGATTCGCTTTAAATTTGGTCACCTTGGTCTTTGCTTTTTCTTTCTAATCGTCATATTTGTTTCTGTTCTCTGTTCTCAGGGTGAGGCAAAAGACACATATGTTATGTGCAGCACATTAGCCAATCACTACTGAAATATTTAAATATTAGAACTTTTGGCCTTTCTGTCTCTTTATATCTACCTTTTACTGGAGGTTTTGCAGGATACAGTGTTTTCTTTTACTGTCAGCAGATCAGTCACCTAGCCATGCAGTATGACTACAGATTTGCATTCTCCAAAGAGCTCACTGAACTGGTCCAGTAATGGTATTGTAATAGGATGGGACTGTTGCAACAAGTCAGTTTGTGAAATTTCTTCTCGCCTAGCTCTTCCACAATCAACTCTAAGTTATGTTATTGCAACCTGGAAACATTTTGGAACCACAGCATCTCAGCAATGTATTGCCAGTACATGTAAAGTTACAGAGCAAGATTGCGGAGAACTGAGGCGTATAGGGTGTTATCAGTGTTCTGTTGACTTAAAACTCCAAGACTACTCTGACATCACCATCACAAAAACTTTGTGCCAGGAACTCGAAGGCATGGGTTTCAATGTTTCTGACCAGGGTGCTGAGTTTTCTTGGGTTTAACTATAATTTGTGTTTCTCATGGATCATGTTTTTTG